CCACTTGTGCACAATCTCTCTCTCTCTTTCTCTCACAAAAATAAAATACATAAACAAAAGAATGATGGACTTAAGCAACTAAAGAGAAGAGAAAGAGAATACTCAGGCTTTTGAGATGAAAATAGCTTGAGCTCATTCTATCCAGGTGCAGAAAATAATTTTTTTTAATGTTTGTTTATTTTTAAGAGAGAGAGAGAGAACTTGAGCAATAGAGGGACAGAGAGAGATGGAGACACAGAATCTGAAGCAGACTCCAGACTCTGAGATGTCAGCACAGAACCTGATGTAGGGCTCGAACTCATGAGCTGTGATATCAAGACCTGAGCTGAAATCAGGTGCTCAACCAACTGAGCCACCCAAACACCCCAGAAAAATAATCCTTTTTAAAAAAATTTTTTTTAATGTTTATTCATTTTTTAGAGAGAACGAGACAGAGCATGAACAGGGGAGGGACAGAGAGAGATGGAAACACAGAATCCAAAGCAGGGTCCAGGCTCTGAGCTGTCAGCACAGAGCCCAATGCAGGGCTCGAACCCACGAAACGTGAGACCATGACATGAGCTGAAGTCAGACGCTTAACTGAATGATTCACCCAGGTGCCCTTCACTCCCCAAAATAAGTCTTAAATCCATAGAAAACTGCAGAAATTTTCCAATGAACAATCTCATCTTCAAAGAATTACCCAAGGCACATTTGACCTGAATAAGATATAAATACTGAAAATAAAAGAAATACTATAAACACTGGGGAAACCATTGCTGTAAGGTTTAATTCTTTTGTATAGTGGTCCTTAAAAATGTAGAGAAGAGACATTTTAAACATATTTTGGAGTGTCAGTTCTATCAATCCTGAATGAGTTGTGGAGAGTAGATTAGGTGAATCCAACTGCAGATAATACTTCCCATTATTAAACTCGAAGTTTTTCTCTTTAACAGATACAAATTTAGACCTTTAAGTATTAAGTTATGCCATTGGGTGCAAGAACAATTGATTTTAAAACACACCATTTTCTACGTAACACTTAGAAAAAGAAAAATCATTTCAATTACTATTACTCAAAGTGTACCTATTCCTTAGAGTTTTTATTTCCTACTTTTTGAAAGTGTTCTTCTAGGCTTCTTGAGGTATGAAGTGACCACACTGTGAAGAGCTAGGACCCAGTGCACACACATGGAAGCAGTAAGAACCCCTATCTTCCACCTGGCTGACAACAATTTAGAAGGTCATCCATTTTAAGACACTCTGATTTCAGAGATGTTAAAAAGTGAAAAACAAAAAAAAAGTGTGCCCCAGAATTCATGAAACTGGACACATCAAATAAGTTACATTTCCAGTAGATTTAAAAGGAAAGAAAGTTTCTAAAACAGATATGTCTCTGGCAGCAAGAGAAATAAAAGCAAATGTGAACTATTGGGACCTCATCAAGATAAAAACTTTTGCATAGTAAACGAAACAGTCAGCAAAGCTAAAAGGCAAGTGACAGAATGGGAGAAGATATTTGCAAATGACATATTGGATAAAGGATTAGTATCCAAAATCTTTAAAGAACTTACCAAACTGGCCCAGAAACAAATAGTCCAGTGAAGAAATGGACAGAAGACATAAATAGACACTTTTCCAAAGAAGACATCCCGATGACTAACGGACACATGAAAATATGTTCAACCTCACTCATCATCAGGGAAATACAAATCAAAACCACAGTGAGCAACCACCCCACACCTGTCAAAATGACTATGATTAACAACTCAGGAAACAACAGTTGTTGATGAGGATGTGGAGAAAGGGGAATCCTCTTGCACTGCTGGTGGGAATGCAAACTGGTGCAGCCACTCAGGAAAGCAGTATGGAGGTTCGCCAAAAAATTTAAAAAAGAACTACCCTATGATCCAGCAATTGCACTGCTAGGTATTTATCCAGAGGATAGAAAAATGCTGATTCAAAGGGGCACATGCACCCCAATGTTTACAGCAGCAGCACTATCAACAACAACCAAATTGGGGTACCTGGGTAGCTCAGTTGGTTAAGCATCCAACTCTTGGTTTTGGCTCAGGTCATGATCTCACAGTTTCCTGAGTCTGAGCACCACATCAGGCCCTGCAGTGATGCCATGGAGCCTGCTTGGGATTCTCTCTCTCCCTCTCTCTCTCTATATCTCCCCCTACTGGATGCTGTCTCTGTTTCTTGCAAAATAAATAAACTTAAAGAGAAAAAAAACAGTAGTCAAATTATGGAAAGAGCCCAAATGTCCATCAACTGATGAATGGATAAAGAAAACGTGGTATGGCAATCCCTATCAAAATAACACCAGCATTCTTCACAGAGCTAGAACAAACAATCCTAAAATGTGTATGGAACCAGAACAGACCCCAGATAGCCAAAGGAAACTTGAAAAAGAAAAACCAAAGCTGGAGGCATCACAATCCCGGACTTCAAGATGTATTACAAAGCTGTAATCATCAAGGCGGTACTGGCACAGAAACAGACACTTAGATCAGTGGAACAGAATACAGAACCCAGAAATGGACCCACAAACATATGGCCAACTAATATTTGACAAAGCAGGAAAGAGTATCCAATAGAATAAATACAGTCTCTTCAGCAAATGGTGCTGGAAAAACAAGACAGTGACCTGCAGAAAAATGAAACTGAAGGGGCGCCTGGGTGGCTCAGTCGGTTAAGCGTCTGACTTCGGCTCAGGTCATGATCTCACGGTTCGTGGGTTCAAGCCCCGCGTCGGGCTCTGTGCTGACAGCTCAGAGCCTGGAGCCTGCTTTGTATTCTGTGTCTGCCTCTCTCTCTGACCCTTCCCTGCTCATGTTGTCTCTCTCTCTCTCTCTCTCTCTCAGAAATAAATAAAACATTTAAAAAAAGAAAAAGAAAAATGAAACTGGACCACTTTCCTACACCATATGCAAAAATAAACTCAAAATGAATGAAAGACCTAAATGTAAGACAGGAAGTCATCAAAATCCTCAAGGAGAAAGCAGACAAAATCCTCTCTGACTTTAGCTGCAACTTCTTACTCAACATGTCTCCAGAGACAAGGGAAACAAAAGCAAAAATGAAATACTGGCACCTCATCAAAATAAAAAGCTTCTGCACAGTGAAGGAAACATCAGCAAACTAAAAGGCAACCAACGCAATGGGAGAAGATATTTGCAAATGGCATATCAGATAAGGGGTTAGTATCCAAAATTTATAAAGTTTGGTAAATTTATAAATTTACCAAAGGCAACACCCAAAAAACACATAACCCAGCAAAGAAGTGGACAAAAAATAAGAATAGACACTCCTCCAAAGAAGACATGACATCCAGATAGTCAACCAACACATGAAAAAATGCTCAACATCACTCATCATAAGGGAAATACAAATCAAAACCATAATGAGATGCTACCTCACACTTGTCAGAATGGCGGACATGAACAACTCAGGCAACAACAGATGTTGGCAGGGATGTGGAGAAAGAGGAACCCTTTCTCACTGCTGGTGGGAATGCAAACCGGTGCAGCCACTCTGGAAAACAGTATGGAGGTTCCTCAAAAAGTTAAAAATAGAACTACCCTTTGACCCAGCAATTGCAGTACTAGGTATTTATACAACGGATACAGGTATGCTGTTTCAAAGGGCACATATACCCCAATGTTTATAGCAGCACTATCGACAATAACCAAAGTATGGAAAGAGCACAGGTGTCTATCAACAGATGAATGAATAAAGAAAATGTGGTATATATGTGTATGTATGTATGTATACACATTGGAGTGTTACTCAGCAATCAAAAAGAACAAAATCTTTCTATTTGCAACTATGTGGGTGAAACTAGAGGGTATTATGCTAAGCAAAATTAGTCAGAGAAAGACAAATATGACTTTACTCATATGAAGACTTTAAGACAGAACAGATGAACATAAGGGAACGGAAGCAAAAATAATGTTAAAACAGGGAGGGGGACAAAACATAAGAGACTCTTAAATATGAAGAACAAACAGAGGGTTGCTGGAGGGATTTGGGGAGGGGGGATGGGCTAACTGGGTAAGGGGCATTAAGGAATCTACTAAAATCACTGTTGCGCTATATGCTACCTTGGATGTAAATTAAAAAATTAATTTTAAAAAAAGAAAGAAAAATGTGTATATATACAATGGAATACTGCTCAGCAATGAAAAAGAATGAAATCCTGCCATTTGCAACAACGTGGACCAAACTAGAGTGTACTATGCTAAACAAAATAAGTCAGAGAAAGACAGATATAAGATTTCACTCATGTGGAATTTAAGAAACACAACAGATGAAAATAGGGGAAGGGAAGGCAAAATAAGATAAAAACAGAGAGGGAGGCAAGTCATGAGAAACTCTTAAATACAGAGAACAAACTGAGGGTTGCTGGAGGGGAGGTGGGTGGGGGATGGGCTAGATGGGTGATGGGCATTAAGGAGGGCACTTGTTGGGTTGCGCACTGGGTGTCATATGTAAGAGAGGAATCATTGGGTTCTACTCCTGAAGCCAAGACTACACTGTATGTTAACTAACTCAAATTCAAAAAATATTAAAAGAGATAAATGTGATTCAGTGTGACACACATACATACACATGACAATGCAAAATGGCTTGAATAAATAGACTTGAGCCCTGCCCAGGGGAGGCACACAAGGCTTTCCAGTCGGGGCCCAGAGTATGCTTGCAGAAGGCAAAGTTGAAGAGAAGGAAAAATCCAGAATGGTGGGAAAGAGTTCAGTTATGACAGGCTGGGTTACATGCCCCACTTCTAAGCTCACAAAGCCCTCACAATACTGGTGCCACCAGGGTGGGGGGAGGGGGGTGGGGTGCAGAGGGGTAAGCCGTGTCCGTCACATAGCAGGTGCTCAGTGTATACTTGGGCGAGTGAACGTGCAAGCACGTGTATGTGGGAGTGAGTGACGAGCGAATAAGCGCATGAGTTAGGGGTGTCTGTGGCTGGAGATGACAGCTGTTCTCTTTCCCCCTTGTCACCCCAGAAAAACTTGAGAGCGAGAAGCTGAACGTTGCTGAAGTCACCCAGTCAGAGATCGCTCAGAAGCAGAAGCTGCAGACTGTCCTGGAGAAGATCAACGAAACCCTGAAGCTTCCTCCCAGGAGCATCAAGTGGAATGTGGACTGTGAGTTTGACAAAGAAGGACAGAACGGTTAAGTGACCCCCATGGTCCCCACCCTGGGCTTTCTCCCAGGAAGCCAACCAGGACCCTGGCAGCCCCCGGGCGGGCGCAAACCCATTTATCGTTGAGTGAGACGTGCCCTTCCTTAGAAAACCTAGCCTCTGTACGCTGGGAGATTGACAAAATGTTTCAAGCCCCTGTGTACTCGTGTGGGAACTGCATCTACCTTTCGGAAACCCACAATAGTCATGAGCATTAACGTCCTCTGATGAAGACCCCTGCTTAGTTCTGTTTCAGCCTATTTCCCCCTCCCTGAGTGTGGACCATCTCCATGTACTCCTCTAAACAAAACAAAACACCTTTGAACTTAACAAGGAACCCAGTTTTGGAAAGACTGAGATACAATGGAATTTTTTTTTTTTTTTTTGGAGGAGAAACAGCAGTTGTGTCAGCGAGGGGGCTGGACGGAAGGAGAGGGAGAGAGAGAATCCCAAGCAGGCTCCATGCGCAGAGCAGGGCAAGAAGTGGGAGCCCAAAATGCGGGGGACCCTGAGATCACAACCTGAGCCAAAATTAAGAAGTGGACTCTTAACTGACGGAGCCACCCAGGGGCCCCTCATGCGTACCTTCGTTCCTTTTGGGGAAATGTATACGAGGAAAATAATTACTCGTATTGCCACTCTCATCTGGCTGTTTTCTTTTTTTATTTTTTATTTTTTTTTGCCTGCTACTGTCCCTATCAACACAAATGTTTACTCGCTCTCCTGTGTTTTGTTACTTTCTCTCAATATTAGATCATCTTGTCTATATTCCCATGTGGTCTTCGTGCTTCTATTCCACAGGGCAGGAAATCCCATAGGGATCTTAAACCCTGTGTTGACGTTAATCCTATTAGGATGTTTGCTCGCCTATTGACTACTATGAGTTAGGGCCAAGTTGGATGGCTTAGGTTGTGTCTCTTTCCGCTTCTCTCGAATTGTTCCTGTCAGATAGATTTCCAAAATGCAGATGAAGTACTACTAGGTCAGAGGACTCATTCTCTCAGTGGCTAGATACCTGTGATGTCCACTTACAAGCATGAATGGTTTCTTCCATAAGGAATGTGATGGGCCCAGCTCCTAGAGAGAAGTTCCATCCCTCCTCTCTGCTAGCCTCTCTGGCTTCTAGACATTGTATCACCTTTCCATTCAGGATGAAGGTGACAGGGGCAGCTGAGTTACCAAGGCTCTTGATACAGGGCTTTAGGAAGAACTACCTTTTCTTTTTGTTTTATTCACAACAATCTTCATTATAGGGGCACCTGGGTGGCTCAGTCAGTTAAGCGTCCGACTTCGGTTCAGGTCACGATCTCATGGGTTCATGGGTTCAAGCCCTGTGTCGGGCTCTGTGCTGACAGCCAGCTCAGAGCCTGGAGTCTGCTTCAGATTCTGTATCTCCCTCTCTCTCTGACCCTCCCCCTTCTCATGCTATCTCTCCCTCTCTCTCTTTCTCTCAGAAATAAATAAAAAACATTAAAAATTTGTTAAAAATAAATAAAAAGCCATAAGATAAAATTTGAATATTAACGGCTAACATATCTATGGTGCTTACTGTATGCTTTGTACGATTCTAAACCATTTACATATTTTTATCCTTCTAAGTCCTCACTCAACCATCTGAGGTAAGAATGCTATTATCCCCATTTTACAGATGGGAAAAGAGAGTCACAGAGCGATTAAGAGACAATGAATGTAAGCTTTAGGAGGTCAGGGATTTTTATTTCTTCACTACTGAATCCCCAGAATTTGGAAGAATTGGTAAATACCAAACAAAGTAATATTCACTGAAGGAGTATCCTCGTCCAAGGTCACGCAGGTGGTGAGGGGTGGAGCCAGAAATGAAAGCCAGAGAGTCTGTGTACTGAGCCTACACTTGCTGTCCCTCTAAGCCGCCCACCCAGAGACAGGGACTATCACCTTGTGGTGTGACCCTTCAGGTTCAGTGTGTGTGTGTGTGTGTGTGTGTGTAAGAAATACATAAGTAAATTAAATGTGTGTATACATACTTACATATTTCTTTTTACAAAGATGAGATCAGTTTATGTTTAGAAGATGTAGATCTTCACAGATCATTACATATTCTCTGTCACTTTTAATATTATTTAATAGAACAGTGTATTGGCTATAGCATAATATATTTAACAAATGATAGATTTTACGATTGTTTTCTGTTATCAACACAGTCCAATGAGTTCTCTCTGCTGATAGCCACAGTTACTTTTCAGCACAAATACCCAAGAGTGGCATTCTAGGGCCATCGTATGTGTATATTTCTAAGGTCATAATACCTCTTGTCAAATTACCTCCAAAAAAATGACACCAATTGATATTTCCACCACAACTCCTATTTGGAGAACTACATCTAAGTCAGCAGCTCCTTTGAAATTGTCTGCCAGGTCCCAGGATAATGGCTAAGAGCCCAGTTTATACAGTAGAGCCTGGGCCCTCCTCTAAATCTGCACACTGCCATCCTGATTTAAGGGCAGGACCATGGTGTCCCTAGATTCTATCTGGCATCAGGGAGAAAACCAGACACATGCTCAAGTGTGGGAATGATGAGGGGTCCCAAATAGACAAAGATTGTTAGGATTTTTCTTCACTGAAAAGTTGAGGGGCACCTGGGTGGCTCAGTCGGTTGAGTGTCCAGCTTTGGCTCAGGTCATGATCTCATGGTTCATGGGTTCAAGCCTTGCATCCAGCTCTCTGCTGTTAGCTCAGAGCCTAGACCCTGCTTTGGATTCTGTGTCTCTCTCTTTCTCTGCCCTTCCCCTGTTCACTCTCTGTCTCTCTCTCTCTCTCTCTCTCTCAAAAAATAAACAAACACTAAAAAAATTAAAAACAGAAAAAAGATAACATGCTTTATTCTAAAAAAATTTTTGAAATAGAAAACGGTCATATTTTCATTTTCTAAATATTCCTTTCCAAGTCTTGGCCATAAGAACATGTGTATATATGTATACACACACACACACACACACACACATGTATTTACATATATATGTATATCCATAAGTGTATATCTTTACATTGTTTCTATTATTTCTGTTTAACATTGCACTATAAATATTTATAGTTACATTGTTTCAACAGTGATTTTTCGGTGTATGGAAATTACTCCATTGTGTGGATATACCATAACTTATTAAAGCAGTGGTTATTAAGCATTCTTGGCCCAACCTAGTGACTTGCCAGGAAGAACTCAGGCGTCACCGAGGAGAGTAACAGCTGTGGGTGGGCAGCAGTTAGGCCTGGGGGACCAGAGCATTTGTGCTTTTGTTCATCTGTTTTGCCTAATGGCTTTTAAACAAAGGGTTTCTCTGCCTAATAAAAAAAATTTTTTTAAACCAGCAGTTTGAAGTATCCTCTTATTATAGTGTTTTCCAGATTTTTAAATGATAATATAGTACACAATACTTAACATCTTTGCATGTGTGTGAGAGAGAGAGAGAAAGACAGAGGAAGAGAGAAACTGTGTAATTATTTTTGAAAAAATTCCCAGGAGAACAGAGCACCATCCCTCAACAGAGACTGGCATCTGTACGGTGCTTATAAAATAGCTCAATACTGCTTAATACAGCAGTCAAGGTGGAGTACAGTATCACCAGTGGGTAAGAACAACCTTTTTGACCACATCTTCTCTAGCATTATATTTTGTCATTAAAAGGGAGAGACTTAGAGGCACCTGGGTGGCTCAGTTGGTTAAGCATCTGACTTCAGCTCAGGTCATGATCTCGTGGTGCATGGGTTCAAGCCCTGTGTCTGGCTCTGTGCTGGCAGCTCAGAGCCTGGAGCCTGCCTCGGATTCTGGGTCTCCCTCTCTTTCTGCCTCTCCCCTGCCCTCACTCTGTCTCTCTCAAAAATCAACATTAAAAAAGAAGAAGGGATAGAGTTAGCAAATGTCCTTACAACCCTCAGAGACCAGACTGACGTAAAGCAGCTCTGATCAGAAGACCAAACCCTATTATGCCTCTGTCTGGCAGCGAGCACGCCACGTCGGTAGGTCACTCCCAGGCCAGGAGCCTTTTCCGAGGCTGTAACTGTGGGTGAGACTTTGGATGATGCCCCAAAACCCAGAACTGAAAATGTCTTCTGGAAGATCTGAATGGGAGCAGATCATCTGTTCACTGGCATGTTGTGCTAAGGCTCACAGTCCATGGAAAACCTTCTTCCACATCGCAGTGATAACAAGGGACCCTAATGAGTTCCCAAGGAATGTCTGAGTCATTTCCTTTTCTTGCTGATTTCTTAAAGCTTCTGTTAAAGCAGACTCATCAGTCCCAGGGCAGACAGAATGACACCCTAATAATGGGCCCAGTTCGTGCCAAGTACACAAGATGAGCATTTTTGTCGTTGTTCTTCCCTCAATGCCTCCCTGTAAGGAGAAGCCCATGAGGCTGGTGGGACTGGGAAGGCAGGTAAAGCACCTGGTTGAACCTTTGCTTTCAGGAGACAGAAAGAAGAGATAGTTGATGTGGTTTAATTGCATAGGTGTGAGGTGTTGTGTCATAAGTGGTAGTAAAAATTTTCAGCCATTGCTCAGCACCTGCTATGGGCTAGAAGTTCACCTATAGTATTTCTGGGAATTCTTACAACTTGTGTTTCAGCAAAGGTACTGTTAATCCCCATTTGTGAGATTAGCAGATTGAGGCCCAGAGGTCTCGAATGGCCTATCCCAGGTCATGGAAGCAGTAAATCTAGAGCTTGTCAAGTCAGAACTGAAGCTCCAGTCGGCCTGACCCTCTGTGTACCCATGACATCACAGTCTTCTCCTCTCATCTGCTGTGAAATCTACAACTCACTAGTTGCCCGCCCTTCTCTAGTACAAATGGTTTAACATCCGGCCCGTTGCTCAGTAGCTCTAGAAGCCAGCTGGGTCATAAACATCGTTTCCCAGCTATTCCCGAAGGGCACTGCCTACGCTGACCATACACGGTACTCAAAAGAGCAACAAAGCCCTTTAAGATGTCTCGTGCCTTCCTCTAGGGACTGCAGGCCCTGAACAAAGGAAAGGATTCAGTGTTCCTGACTCTGTGTTTATTGAATGCGGGCTTGCTTTGGGTAGAGCCCCAGGATAAGGGTGGTGGTGATAACCCAAAGAGTTCACAGTCAAGTGGGAAGGGAAAGAGGATGCAGAGCAGACATGCTCAGGGTAATTAAAATAGAATGAACGAGAACACGGGGGTGGCAGAGGGCTGAGGTGATGTCAAAATTCAGCAGTTGTCAGGATCCCTATTGGAAACCTGGGTTAGAGTGGAGAGGCTCTCTATAGGAAATCCGGCAACGGCACGATCCAAGAAGTAGCTCCATGGGACTTGGCCAAGAATAAAGGGTCCAAAGGGTGAGGCCTGTGAGATCCTTAGTCGGTGGACAAAAGGTGCGCTGGGTGTGGTACTGCTACGTTTTGAGTATCTGCTTCTATTTGCCTAGAACCTGGAAGGCGATTCTCAAATTTTTAAATCATCTTTTATTTCAGCTGTTCACGCCAAGAGCCTCGTAGCCATTTTGCATCTGCTGGTTGCTCTGTCCCAGTATTTCCGGGCACCAATCCGACTCCCAGATCATGTCTCCATCCAAGTGGTTGTGGTCCAGGTAAGAGCATCAACATCTGCGCCTACAAACATCTGCGCCCTTAAAGAGCCACGGAGGCTGAGTTCATACGGGAGCTAAGGCACGCCGGGTGGCTCGTTACAAGGATAGTGGAATGGTAGCTGAATGTCCTTGACGTGCTGTGTGTTGGAAGACGCATGAATGTGCTCTCTTGTGCGTGGGCAGCAGTTACACGTGCAAAGGGTGGAAGAGCATATACTTGAGTACAGGCTAGACTCATGGGGGGCTTTACATGTTTTCGTCAAGAGGGTGTGTGTGTGTACTATGTATTTGGGGGTGTGAGGTATGTATGTTTGTGAGGTGTATGTGGTGGGATCAGGAGAAAAGGTGTATCCCTGTGTATGTGTGTGTGTGGCCTACAAGCCATGGAGAGTCGTTTTTTGGTTAAACAAATGAGGGACAGATATTGGAAAGAGACAGATAACCTGTCATAGGAAGGTGTGTGTGTGTGTGAGAGAGAGAGAGAGAGAGAGAGAGAGAGAACGTGAGCCAGCCCCCCACTGGCCATGCCTATACTGAGGGCACTGCTGCTTTTTACCTGCCCAGAGAAGCAGGGCTGGGATCTCAAGTCATCCTTTCCAGAATGTTGGATGGAATTTCCATTCATATATGGCTATGTAATTTCCACAATGAGGGTGTGCTCTCTCCCTGTGACTATCTCACTCTGCTCCTAACCCCATTACCTACTCAAATTCAATTTTATTTTCCAACTTTATGCCCACTTAGGAAAGGTCAGCATTCTGTTTGCTTGTTTCTATTCTTTTCTAATAAATGTGCTGCAAGGGAGAACGCCCCTGCTAAGCAGCTCGCTGGTTATCTGGGGTTCTGAAAGAGAGAGCAGTATGGTGGTTCTCCCATCCCTTGGTGAGAAAGAGGTTTGAGGGCTGATAGGCTTTTCCTGACCCCACCAGGCCACGTTTCTAGGACAAAAACAAAGCTTTCAGGGATCGGATGTCGGTGGAGGGGAGGAAGACACGAGGGTGCTCCTCAGTCAGCGGCTCGGCCGTGCCCTGGTGATAAAGTATTTCTTCCATGCCTTCTGGGTACCTTACTTGTTAAACATTAATAGAAATAATAGAAATAGTCACGTTGGCTCTGCCTGCCAAGAGACAAGACTACACCAAAGGAGCAGAGAGGGCAATCAGAAGGCCACAGGCAGTGAGAACGTGTGTGGTTCAGACACAGAGTGCAGCGAAAAGGGACTAATTGGCCTCATGGATTGAGCACTCAGCTGTGGCAAGCACGTTATGTGTGCCACAGATACGTGGCCATCCTAGAGCGTCCTGGTATGAGCATCTTACTAATGAATCCAAGCCATCTCTATTATATTATTTTCACCAATCATGTATAAATTAATTTCAGTACATTTTTTAAAACTCTGATTCAAGATTGGGGTGGGGGGACTTGTGTTTTGGAACAGTGGTCACTGCAAGCCCACGTCTCATGCCTCGTTTTAAGTTCAGTTATAGGCCATCAGAAGGCTATTGTCCGTTTAATTTCTCTTTGGTCAGATCTGTGAGCATAAGAGTGAAAACCAGGACAGGGTACAGAGAACAGCATCGATGCAGGTCAGGTTTTATGGGGTGTTTTGCTTTGTCAAGTTAAACAGACACAGAAGCAGGACTCGGAATTAGCCGGAAATCACTGAGCGAGCCACAAAAAGCGTTCTTGAGGCAACAAATAATAGATCGAGGTGAATCTGGGTGCTGTGTGAGGGCTTATTTAACCGAGATTTCCTTTCCGTTCTGTACAAAAGCACTGAATTCTGCATGAAGTTGAAGATGAGTTTTTATGTCTGTGAAGAGCCTTACAAGACCAGGACACAAATTCCATGAGCCCCATGTGAGAATTATATATTTGTTGAAGCTAAAATGGGAAAAGACCCTTGATTTATCCTTCCTGGATCCCTTTAAAAAATTTTTTTAGTGTTTATTTACTTTTGAGACAGAGAGAGACAGAGCATGAGTGGGGGAGGGACAGAGAGGGAGGGAGACACAGAATCTGAAGCAGGCTCCCGGCTCTGAGCTGTCAGCACAGAGCCTGATGCAGGGGCTCAAACTCACAAACCGCGAGATCGTGACCTGAGCGAAATCGAACGCTTAACCGACTGAGCCACCCAGGGACCCTTCGATCCCTTTTAATTGATATCTTTATTTTTCTTTTTTACTTCCTTTTTCACTTTGATAATCCATTCTTCCAAATCTAGTGCAGATACATTCTTAACCTTTATCCAGCTCTACCTACCTTTCCTTCAATAGAAGTGTTTTGCAAGGACACTAGTTTCTGTGGTTCTTAGGAATAGAAGAGAAGGTTCTGGACGTTTGGGCAGGAGATCAAGAAAAGGCAGGTTTCAGCTGAAACACTAACACTTGTAGGCTCCTTCTTGACACTCTTCTCTGCCTTTGTAAACGGTGAACTTGATGTGACAAGTGCTTGCCATCCCCAGACTGCTGTCCTCATGGAGTCTGGGAACTGCCTACAGAGACCTGACTTAAAGATTCTCTCTCTCCACACCTATCAGAAGGTCTTCCTGAGAGCGCCTGGGTAGCTCAGTCGGTTAGGCGTCCGACTTCGGCTCATGTCATGATCTCATGGTTCCTGAGTTTGAGCCCCGTGCTGGGCTCTGGGCTGACAGCTCAGAGCCTGGAGCCTGCTTCAGATTCTATGGCTCCCCCTCTCTCTGCCCCTCCCCTGCTCACGCTCTGTCTCTCAAAAATAAACATTAAAGAAGAAGAAGAAGAAGAAGAAGAAGGGCTTCCTGAGCCCTGACACTCCTTCACTGGCTCTCGTACCCACACAATGGGGTTTAAATTTCAAACTGGCACTCCGTTGACTCCCATCAACTAATGGCAGCCACCGTCCCTCCCAACAGCCTCCAGTGGTGCTTTCCTGCCTCTGCCTCCTTGCTGGAGCCGCTGGGGCCATCCCTTCTGCTGACAGGCCCTGTCCTGAGTCCTGTCGGGTTCGAGCTCGAGGACCTCCGCCCCTTGGACGGGTTCCCCGACCCTCCCAGCCGAACGCGCCTGCTCCGGCCCTGCCTGCGGCCACCGCATAACTGGTGCCACACGACACTTCTGAGAGTGAAAGGCGGGTCCTACTGTAATCGCTGAACCATTGAGCTGCCCCATCAGGCACACACACCAGGACCCTTTCTTGGAAATCTTTCTCACGTACCTGTTTCATCTACCTCATTGTTCTCTAAGTTCAAGGTCAGAAATTACGTCAGACATTGCACAGTATTCACTCATGTCCAACAGAGGTTCTTGTACAGAGAAAACACCGACTCATGAAATCATAAAGAGGGGAGACTGATGGGAGGAGGCAGATGATGGATGGATAGACAGATGCATGGGCAGATGGGTAGGTGTGGGGGCCTCCAAAGTGCTGACCCTTTTCTCAGAGAATAAGCTAGTTACCTGAGGACTGTACTGCTTACAAAAAGTTCCCCTATTTATCCATTAAAAACAAAAACAAAAACTCTCCCTCCGTTTAAATTTTCCAAGTTGGCCTCCGTCCTGGGCCCCAACCAGCCCCGCTGTTGAATGTGTTTCTCCGCTTCCCTCTGTGGCCCCAGCTGGAGGGCAGACCCGCCCTAGGCCTTCATTTCCATTTGGTTTACTGTGGATTACTCCAGGAGGCAAACAGTATGCTTTCAGCAAAATGTCTTCCAATAAAGAAAGAAAAGATTCCCCATCCAAGAAACAGCCAACTTGTTTGGAATAAACACTAACTGCTCTTAAGTATGAATGGTATGGTCCAGTCCCAGGAAATCTGGGGCCTCATTTTTGCCTCTGGCGGTATCTCCTCTCGGGTTTCATTTCTTGAACAGCAGTAACTTTCTCAATATCAGGAATGCTAATCAGTTCGGTTTTGTTTTTTTTTTTTCTAAAGCATATTTTTCTCTCCTCCTCCCAACCCTTCTCCCCACCCCCGTTTCAGAAACGAGAAGGAATCCTCCAGTCTCGGCAAATCCAAGAGGAAATAACTGGTAACACAGAGTATGTCAACACCATTGTTGCCAGCAATTCTGTAATGGAACACAGATGTTTCTCCGAAATTCATCCATTTGCTGATATTTAGTTTTCATTTATTGGGATTGCAAGAGGGATTAGACTTCAGCCAATGATTATAGTTTAGCCTTTTCCATGCATTCAAAACATGCCTCTCGATGCTTAAGGTACAAACTTGGGTGGGGAAGTGGGGAGAGGGAATTAGCAGTGATTGAAAAATTCTAATTTTGTGGCACTCCAGGAAAAAGTATGCCCAAAAAAGCCAACCAGCATGAAATCGTCATGCCATAAACACGGGGTTGAATTTAAATTGCGAACCTTCAAAAGGACATTTTCTTCCTTTTCTGACTCTGATGTATTTGGTCACGTGCCATGACCCAGAAAGCCCTTTTCTATGAGTGGCAGGTTGGTGTTTTGTGATTTTTCATTTCCATTAAGCGATTGGCGTATCAGAATATGTAAGAGGTTTGCCATGGGGCAGAGAAGTTTGTCCTTAGGTAGAAAATGGGGAGGAATATATTGAGATCACTGGGCAGGCCTGAGCCCTGGCCACAGGCAAAGCGTATTTTCAGCATCCCCTGCTCCCCCAGCTTTCCTCTCTGTTCCTTTGAACAAGAGCGAAGCGGAAAGAGCAGGGACCTTTAAGCCAGCCTGACTTGAGTTCAAATCCAGACTCTCCCACTTGGTTGGTTTCTGTATCTCTGAAGTGGGGAGCGCTTTCCTAACCAGAGAGGTTGTGAGGATTCACTGTGGTAACAGCTGGCCCCCTTGCCCACCCGCGCTGCCTGTCATGGATTTTCCCCCATCATGGCTGACCCGTGCCCTCCAAGTGTCGCCCAGTTTCTAGGCAACTTGCCTCTCCGGTGGTGGCTGAGGGAAGTCCAAGGTGCTGCCTGCCTGGACCACATTGTACGTGTGCCTTAAAAAGAGCCCAGAGTAGAGCAGAGACATGGATTGGCGCTTCCCAAGATGCCCGGTTTATGGCCTGTGGAGAGCCTATCGGACGGCCTCTACGTCTCACTCCGGGGCCAGTCTTGGCAGCCAGTAGGGCTGCTGATACACAAGGCACACTGATTGCTGGCCTTGGATTACATGAGGGGCAGGAGGGTGCCTCCCTGCCCCACCCCCACCCTCTGCTGGGCTTGTCCATGCCCGCTGTTTCACCTTCTGGAAAAGAGAAAGACATAGCCGAGAGGAGTCGAGGACATGACGTTTGGGTTTGCAGAGCAATCTGTCGGCTGCACGCCATGCCTCCTGTGGTCTCCCTCTGCCATCTTGCCACACAACACGAGGATGGATGCAAACTCCTAATAACGCAACACAGGACACTTTCTGAAGCACTTTCATATCTATTGTCATTCCTAATAAATACACAAAGCAACACTCACACCTCCTAAAACCACACATCCCAAAGGTGAAGAACCAACTGCCCTTGGTCTATCCAACACTTAACTCCAAGTTCATTATCCTTTCCAGTACACTGCCCACAAGTCATCATTTAGGAGGTGACAGATGCACAGTTGGAATAAACCAATATAATAAGAACCAGAAACGCATGGAGAAAAAAACATTCGAAGCACTATCTACCAGGAATTATGCTAAAGTCTTTCTGCATGTTAAATCATTGAATGCTCTGAATAATACTGGGGTATTTACTATCATCATCCTCATTTATTTTTTAATTTCTTTTTTAATGTTTTATTTATTTCTAGGAGAGAGAGACAGCGTGAGCAGGGGAGGGTCAGAGAGAGAGGGAGTCACAGACTGAAACAGGCTCTAGGCTCTGAGCTGGCAGTCAGCACAGAGCCCGACTCGGGGCTCGAACCCACGAACCGCGAGATCATGACCTAAGCAAAAGTCGGACCCTTAACCGACTAAGCCACCCAGGTGCCCCATCATCATCCTCATTTTAGACAGACGAGAGACCTGGAGCCCCAAGAGCCTTGGTAGCTTGCCCAAGGTCACACAGGAAGTGTCTCTGTGGGATTCAGACCTAAGTAGTCTGTTCTGATGTTTGTGCTATTTGTACTTGGGGGTTTCACCGGTAGGAGCATGGTTCCATTTCCTGCCCTCCTTGAGGAACCAGTTCTGAGTCAATGGCAGGTGCAGTTTGGTGGGAATCACAGGACAAACTAGAGAAAGATAAAGCTGACATCCCTCAGCGGATGTGCCCCACAACCTGGGCTGTGCAATGGTTGGGAATGTTGAAGCCCCGAGTCCGATATTCCTTCTTAACGATAAGCAACGGTGTGATTTTACTTAAGGCAAGAAAATAGTTTTTTTTTTTAACTGTTTTTTTTATTTCTAGGAGAGAGAGAGAGAGAGAGAAAGTGAGCGGGGGAGGGTCAGAGAGAGAGGGAGTCACAGACTCTGAAACAGGCTCCAGGCTCTGAGCCGGCCGTCAGCACAGAGCCCGACGCGGGGCTCGAACCCACGAACCACGAGATCAGGACCCAAGCGAAAGTCGGACGCTCAACCGACTAAGCCACGCAGGCGCCCCAAGAAAATAGTTCTTTAACTATCACTTACCCCAGGCTCTGTGCAAACACGCGTCTGTATGGCAGAGGGAAAAACAGGTGGCCGTAGGGTAAAGACTACCAATAATTGGAGACTTAGTGCAGAAGAAAGTGCCAAGGAAGGAAGCTTCGTGGGCTTGTCAGTGAAGGGCAAAGAGAGAAGAATCATACTGTTTTCTTTCTCCTTTTCCTGCAGGGCTCTCTCCGGAAGGCATGGTGAGTTGCATACGATTATCCTCTGGTGCGGGTGGCTGCCACGGGTTTCTAGTTAATTCTGCAGCAGCTGGGAAGAACAGGCACTCAGCTCGCTTCCTGCCTGTGGGTCTGCACAGCCCAGTGAGAGGGCCACTTGGTAGGGAGGGTCGGCTTACTGGTGGAAAGGGGAAAACTAACCACAGCTCCCAGTCCTCCTGTAAGTAGCCAGACCCCTGACACTGCCGGGCCCTGGATGGGTCCTGGGCATTTTCAGGGCTGTCCTGCTCTAAGTGTGTTGTGGAAGGAAAGAGGTGTACGTACACTCTTGGGAAAGTCCACTCTCCCCGCTCGGTCCATCCCTTCTAGAAGCAGTCTTCTCCCTTTTCCCGCGTCACACATCATCCCGCTCCAGTTTCCCATAACTTTGGGGTTTGTTTATACGGTGTGAATGTTAGAGCCCTCAGTCACCCGTCTGGCAGTCTCAGATTTATTCATCGGCGCAAGAGCGGAAAAAGGCAGGCCCCGGGCCACCAAGCTTCCCAGCCCCGGGCCCCTGCTGGACATTCCCTTCACCCCCTGCCTCAGATCCTATCCATTATCTTACCTCTCAGTTCAGAGAATCTGGGGGCTGCAGCAAGGAAAATCCCGACAAGGGGCACAGCTTTGTTATTTTATGATGCTGTATATACTGTGGATAATGTTTGCAATATCACAGTAATGCTAATAAACTCAGATCAGCAGACACTTCAACGTGTACAAAACACATGCACATGCATCCTTCTCTTTCATCCTCACAACAGACCTGGGGGAGGTTTGTTTTTCAGATGGCATTTTATAGAAGAGGAAATGGAGGCACAGAGGTCGAAGTGACTAGATCAGTCAAGAGGAAGAGCACATATTCGATTCTGGGGCTCCCAGGCCCCCAATCCGGTCATCCGTGCACTCTACCAGGATGTCTGTTGTGGGTATCCTGGTTTTGAAAACTGGCGGGTGAAGTGATTTGAGATTTGGGTAACACTCTACCTTCAATAAGCTTCAGAAACACACGAGACTAAATCATGATGTGGTGAATATAAACAGTGAAGAGAAATGAGCAATCCCAAGTCAAACTGCCGGACAGAGCCCCCCAAGCCCAACCCCAAAAGAGGGTTGACCTAAAAAGTGGACACAGAAACAGAGAAAGCCCCTAAGTGAAGAATCAATCCCGGAAATTTACCCAAACCCAGTTTCCAGAATCCCCAACATTGTTTCATGCATCAAAAAATTTTTGCCTATGTCTGGCTTTGTGGCCATCTTGGCCGGGCCCTCGGGTGGGGTTCCCCACCAGGAAGCAGGTCTTTGCTCCACGTCACATTCTCCTGTGTTTCTAGAACGTGATGCCTTTGACACCTTGTTTGACCATGCACCAGACAAGCTCAACGTCGTGAAAAAGGTGAGTGAGAGGTTCCTGGGAGGGAGGGGAGGGAGACAGATAGAACGTTAGAACGCGTGCAAAACGTTAGAACAAGCACAAAACATTAGAACATGCGCATGCAGCCTGCAAGCTTCCTCAAAACGGTGTCCTCACCAGCTCTCTGCAAACTCGGGGCCTTCCCACCTGATGGGCATTTTATCCCTCTGTTCCCACTGAATGCCTTACCCACTCCCTTCTCCCGTAGGATGACAGCGTCTCCTGGGGCTTCCTGAGGCTACAAGCACCCTGTCTTCCCCCCCACACTGAACCCTTCTCACTCAGCCCTCCTTCCTCCCCAGGCACAGGCACCTGCCCCTAGAAAGGTCTGGAAGGAGGGGCCCGGTGAGGTCATTTCTCCTCTGGCCCCCCAACCCTAGGCTAGGACTACACCTGTTATTCTGCCTTCTCGGCACTCCCTGCCCCTTTCACAGTCCTGGGACTGGCTATTTGAATCCCACAGGAAAGGAGACCACAAATCCTGGGCCAGCCTTTCCTGTGAACTCCAGGAGCTTTGCAGAAGAGCCTCACAGGCTGCTCATTCTCACCCAGCTCAGCAGTGGCACCTGGCGCGGCACCCTTGGTTGGGCCTTGTGTTATCACACTGGTCTTGGTCCTCACAGTAGGGTCGCAGAGGTGGCCTCCAGGGTGTGGCAGTGGCAAGAGTCTCCATCTCAATGCCTGGCTTATACTTCTCTTTTAGACGCTCATCACCTTTGTGAACAAGCACCTGAATAAACTGAACCTGGAGGTCACAGAACTGGAAACCCAGGTGGGTGACAGCCCTGAGTGCAGGGTCGGGGGCAAGGCCCTGTTCAACAGCCACTCTTCCAAGTGTCCCCATCCCTGCACTGCCAGGGTGCCTTTCCACTAATATAAAACAAATCCTCAGCCCTTTTTTGTATGACATTGACATTTTTGAAGAGTGTGGGGCCATTAGGTTCATAGGATCTCAATTTTTTTCCCCACATGATTAGATTCAGGCTATGAATTTTCAGTGACAATTCCACCCCCATAACACTGTGCTGTTCTCAGGCACTTTGTCCATTAGTTCCATTCCTGGTGATAGTAACTTTGGTCACTTGGTTAGTGCCCACCAGATTTCTCTACTGTAAAGCTTTCCCCACCTTTATAATTAATCTTTATCAAGTGATACTTTAAGACTGTGCAGTATGGGGCTCCTGGGTGGCTCAGTCGGCTAAGCATCTGATTTCTGCTTAGGTCATGATCTTGCAGTTGGTGAGTTCGAGCTCTGCATCAGGCTCTGTGCTGACAGCTCAGAGCCTGGTGCCTGCTTTGGATTCTGTGTCTCCCTCTCTCTCTGCTCCTTCATTGTTCTCTCCTTCAAAAACAAACAAACATTTAAAAAAAAAAAATATTTAAAGACTGCAATATACCCTGTTCCCCAACCCTCTTTCCTCTGTGATGAATTTCTAAAGTATGGTTTTCTTTTGAGAATGTGGGCACCTCCTGTTATGTTTCAAAATGATTTCCAGGGCTGTCACTGAGCTCTACCTGAGTGTGTCCTATCTGTACTCTGTAAAGCGAGCTTTATCTGGTTTTTTGGGAGACAGGGAACCCTCTCTGGAAAAGTGACGTGCCCTCAGAAGAGCTAGAATGAGTTCTAGAATTCCTACTTCAGTTTTCACGGGCAAGGAGTGTAGAGAGAAAGGCCCTGCCAGGCATGTTTGGGGTCTGTGTGCAAGTTCAACCACCAAGGCATCCAAACCAGCAGTCGAGGGTGGGAACAGTAAGTCAGTGGCACTCAGAGTTGTGAGTAGCCTTGACCCTAACCCAGGGCCTGCCCCTGAGTAGACAGATTTGATTCTTTTATTTTCAGTCAGGTCAGCCACGGCCAAAAAGAGGCCTAGTTAGGTCCTTGGGAGGGCCTTGATTCTGACACAGACCCTGGGGTCTGTTCTCCCGTTCACCCTGGCTTGGCCTGGGGATGAGTCAGGCTCAGGCCCTCCCCACTGGAATTGAAGCCCAGCTGGATGGAAGCAGGGAGGAAGCTACTCCTAGGTCAAGTTCAAGGCTGGGCAGGACACCCATTACGAAGCCTGAGCCACAAGCCCACCAGTTGGTCACCCAGCAGACATGGTCCAGTTCACGTTCCAGGCAATTCTGTCTAGTTTTAAGTTTCCTGAGTTGATTCCAAGAACTCTGAGCTCTTAAGAACTCTTCAACAACTGGGGTTATGCCCACAAAGACTTGGGGACCCACCTCCTTTAAAAGGTTCTCTAATTTCAGTTATCCATTTGACCTCTAGATCTTTTTGTAATTTTTTAAATGTATTTATTTTTGAGAGAGAGAGAGAGTGTGTACGCGCCTGCATGCACGTGCAAGTGGGGGAGGGGCAAGGGAAGGGTGGGGAGACAGAGGATCAGAAGGAAGCTCTGTGCTGACAGCAGAGAGCCTGACGGGGGGCTTGAACCCACGAGCCATGACATCATGGCCTGAGCCGAAGTCAGATGCTTAATCAGCTGAGACACCCAGGTGCCCCTGACCTCTAGATCTTTGTTCAGACCATCCTCTGCCCCTGGCAGGGCTACTCGTCCCAAATGGCCCTCATCCCATAGGCCTGCCACTGCCTCCACGAAGCCTGCACTGATTGCCCAGCACACATTCTCTTTGCCCTCCCGGCAGCAGAAGACCCGCACCTCCTGCTTAGCTCAGGAGTCTACCGTCCCTCAGACCGGGTCCCAACTGTCCTGGACAGAAGGGACCAGGCCCTCTGCCTCTTGCTGTGGCCTCCGCACACAGCTGCGCTTTGTCAACAGGAGCCAGTAATAGCAATAGTTAACATTTAGGGTCGCCTACATGCCAAACAGTGTTCCAGGCACCCTGCACGTGTTAACTGCTTTATCCACATGATGCCCCTCTAGAGTGGGTGCTGTCTTATCATTCTCCACGTGTCACAGATGAGAAAAATGCAGAGAAGTGACCTAAGTTTCTCAAGTCACACAGCTAGCTAATAAGCAGGACAGCTGGAGGCCTAGGGCCAGCATAGGCTCTGCTGCCTCTCAAACAGTAATAAAATGAGAGGTGACAAAGGAGAATGCCCAGGCCTGTGGGACACTAGAGTTCCTTCTCCGTTCACAGGGCGTAAGTCCCCCTGCCAGGGGCGTTGAACCCCCTTTCCCTCCTCCCTCTGCCCCCCCCCCCCCACCACCACCACCAAGCTGGCTCCTCCTCATCCCTCAGGTCTCTGTTCAGGCTTTGCCACCTCCGGACACCTTCCCTGCAGTCCTGAGGGGGAGCGGCCAACCTCTGTCAATCTCACACAGTCCAGTGTGCTCACCTCCATCAGAGCGCTGCTGCCTTTCCTCCACACCTGTCTGCCTACTAGACTGTGAGTCCCTCAGGGGCTGAGCCACACCTGACCTCTCTCTGAGGTCCCCAGGCCAGATCAGGGACCAGCACATGCCCAGCGTTCAGTTCAGGCGGGATCAGCTGAGGCCCAGACCATGGCCGTGCCTCCTATGCTGGACCAGCTAGACTTGGGTGGGGTCTGCTGCAAAGCTCACCTTCCTGCCTCAGGCCGCTGCCCCACAACCCCAGCCAACAGCCTTCCTGCGGATGGAGCCTTCGGGGTGCTGACATGATAGCCGAGGGGTGCCCTGGATAGGACTTGCCTTGGAGGGCTCAGGGGCCCAGGGCCTTCACCCGGCCCTCTCCCTCCAGTTTGCAGATGGGGTGTACCTGGTGCTGCTCATGGGGCTCCTGGAGGGCTACTTCGTGCCCCTGCACAGCTTCTTCCTGACCCCGGACAGCTTTGAACAGAAGGTAAGTGGAAGGAACCTCAAGGGAGGCCCCCAGCGCATACCCCCCAATTCATCTGCACACACCTGTGCTGCGCCCAGTGCAGAGAAGGGACAGCGGCTTCCCACCCGTCCACAGGCTTCTGCGGTTGGATGCAGGGCCCCTTCTGATGAACGGCTGAGTTGGGAAAGAGCTACCTGCAGGCCGCCAAGCATCTGGAACAGCCCTCCCTTCCTGCTGCAGTCTGGCTCCGAGCCCCTAGCCATATGCTCCCACCAGGGGCACAGCCCAGCCTCCTCTCTCCCCTGACATGACAGCGAGGGTGGCTGCAAAGCTGGCCGGACCTAAGGCTTACACTCAGCCTGGTTCCGATGCCTCTCATGGGTACCACGGCCTGCCCGCTAGACAAGGGACATTTGGTCCAAAGCAGATAACCCTTCTCTGCCTCTTGAACGTGTTTTGCCATCTGATCCTCTCAACTGTCCATGGTGATGGCCCTAAGTTTAAAGTCCTGGTGCTTGACCTGGGAACACAGCAGGACAGGGAGATCTTGAACTTCTCCACGAACCTTTCACCAACAGGCAGCTGGGACCAACCAGCTCACACTCCACATGGCCCACCCGTCTTGGTAGCCTTGTTTCTCCTTCAAATTAGGGCCTCATTTTTATTCAGCCTCATATCGCTTCTCGGCCTTTTGGCTAAGATCATGTGTACTCAGCCTCTGCTCCCTGGCTGTAGTGCTGCATCTTCTGCTTCCTAGGGTCAGGCCCCGGGAGCTCCAGGCATCCAGAAATCCATGCACAATGACATAGGCACCACATTTCTCTTTCCAGGTCTTGAATGTCTCCTTTGCCTTCGAGCTCATGCAAGACGGGGGACTGGAAAAGCCAAAACCACGGCCAGAAGGTACTTTGCTCTTCCCTGGGTTTGCGACAAGACCCCACACGTCAGTGTTCAGGGCACAGGGCAAGCCTCGTGTTGGATGAATATCAAGGGAACAGTTTCTTCCCTGAAGTCTTCTTTGCCATTTGCAGGGGGAGGTGGGACGGGGTACAGCTGCTCAGTCCTAGAGATCTTTTATGACTGCAAATGAAGATCCCACATGCGGGATTGCGGTGTAAGGCCCGAGCAGAGATGCTACAGTTTCCAGGTTCTTCTGGCCCTGGGCAGGTTGCTGACCTGTCAAACTGCTGCACCCCAGCCAGGCAGGGGGAGGATGCAGGAGTCGTCACCGGCAGCTCTGCTCAGAGCGTAATTGCCGCTCCCGTTCTCGGCTCCCTCCAACTCTACCAAAGATGAGGACTGATGTATTGGGCTTGGGTCGCAAATCTAAGACTGGGGTAAAAATGCAGATGGAGCAGCCTTCCCAGGCTCAGTCCTAGAGCGGGTGCCCCTGTGCATATGGGAGGCACGTTTCTCCCGGGAGCCTTCTTGGTGGGGATGTTTATTGACTTACTGACAGAAATATTCCATTTTATCAGCGCTGGTGAGTCAACACTTTGTTGCAGATAATTTTCTGTTCTCCATTTGTGGGCCCTTCTGCTTTCCTTTGCCTGGTTGTTTAAAGGAAAGTGGATCAGGGGCGCCTGAGTGGCTTAGTCGGTTAAGCATCCGACTTTCGCTTAGGTCATGATCTCGCTGTCCGTGGGTTCGAGCCCGGCGTCAGGGTCTGTGCTGACTGCCGGCTCAGAGCCTGGAGCCTGCTTCAGATTCTGTGTCTCCCTCTCTCTCTGACCCTCCCCTGCTCATGCTGTCTCTCTCTCTCTCTCCTAGAAATAAATAGCACATAAAAAAAAAATTTTAAAGGAAAGTGGATCAGTAGGGGTTGGGTGCGTTCATTCTCCATTGTTGCTTGTGCCCGTGCTTCCATCCACACCACCACTTCCGGGGTGGGGGGTCATTCACTGACTGTCCAGTGGGCCCGAGACCCCACAGATGGTGATACACCAAGAGGGGTGTGCTGGCCCTGACCTCAAGGCATTCGCAGCCACTCAGGGGTGAGGAAAGATGTGCCCCGTAACCATGACGGACTGACAGTTGTGGCAACTGCCATGAAAGAGGGACGGCTAAGAGAGCGAGAGAACTGAGGAGGTGACATCGCTTCAGCCTGGGCAAATCACAGTTTGATGGAGATGGTGAAAGTTGGGCTAAACCGTAGAGGTCACATAGGGCTTTTATTTGGACATCAGGACAGAGGAGGCAGCGTCGCAGATGGAGGACAGTGTGAGCTGAAGTCCTGCCTGGGGAAAGGGCAGGGGCTCCGTGTGCGAGAGAGCAGAGCATGTGGCTAAGCTCATGACAGCCCCGGATCCAGTCCCCACCCCACCAGCCAGTTGTGTGGCCTTGGGCAACTTACCTACCATCTCTGAGCCTACTCATCGTGTCTCTAAAAACAGAACTTCTAGAGACGTACACATGACAAGATTAAAGGTGATGAGGTCTGATGCATAGCACGTGCCACCTGATCATCAACGTTAAGCTATCCCCCATTGAGCTGGAATATGAAGAATATGAATCGAATAATGGTTCGTGAGGATAACATGAACTGGTGCTAGGTCCCGGACGGACCGATGTTAAGGCAGAAAGTTCAGACTTTATTCTGTAGGTCGTGGGAGACATGGAAGTTTCTTACACAGGCAAGCGATGTGATTGGAGCTCTGTTCCAGAGAGCTCATTTGGAAGGCAGTGTGAAGAACAGATACTTAGACATGGGGCTCCATCAGCAGTGCCGGGGAGCCCAGGAGGAAAAGCAGGCTTGGCAGGGCACATAAGGATGTCAGTCCTGACGGACTGACCAAATAGAACCACAGTTAGGGGGAAAGATCAGGGCTGTGGTTGTGTAACTGGAAGTCTCCCACTTAGTGGAAGCCAGTCAAGAGGAAAGCATGCAAAGAAAAGGGTTAAGGGCAGTATCTTGTAGAAATACCTCTCTTGAAGCTGGAGGAGAAAGCCGGAAAACCAGAGGAGAGAGGTGGATTCTGAAGATGTGCATTGTGTCCCTGGGTCATGCGTCATCACAGACCTTGTTAACTCAGCTCTGGCCAACAAAAGCCAACCCCATATTCTCACTAATTCCCACCTGTTCTGAGCGCCCGGCCACTGCCACTTGCCTCTAGCAAGGTTGGTCTCCTTTTAGGGGCCCTCTCCTGGCAAGGTCATTTGGGCCATCCTAATGCCATTAGGAATGGACTCTGAGCCCTGGGGCCCGATGATGGGCACCCCACTTCAGAACAGGAGGGACAGCAGGAGAGGAGAGATCTGGCCAGCGTCTCTCTTTCCATGTTCTTGAGCCGCCTAATATGAAACTTCCTGGTCACCGATGAGAAGGACTCCTCCTGATACGTCCATTTTCAGGCATTTATTTCCCTCAGAACAGACAGTCTTCCCAATATCAATTAACCTACAGGGCTATTTCAGCATTTAGAGGACATTTCTCATACAATTACTGACTGAACTGCTTAATATGGAACTTCCTGACCCATGGCCATGGAAAAACACATCTGCTCTATTTGCTGTTACCCTGGGCATCATGCCCGCACTGAAAATTTCCAGTGCGTAAAGGAGAACTGAAATGGCATCTTGTGAAATTGTACTTTGCATGAGGTATTATAGCCCAGCATTCCCTCTGGCGTCTGTGCTTCTACCTGTAAAGTAGATTCAGTAGTCAATACTGCAGACTTTACAAAAGGTGCCAGCATGGGTAATTCTTTGAGGGTTCTTGCAAAATCAGACCCACTGTGGTGGAGGCATTTTTCATGGCAAATGTTTTTAAGGTCAGGGGAATGCATTCTCTGCCACACTGCTTGACATTCAAAGTTCCGGTGTACCTTGAAATCTCCTGGGAACTGGATTTGCATCTCAGATGACTTTTGCAGCCCAGGCTTCATAAACTTTTAGCACACCAAATGTTAGCATCAGGTTCATGGCCAGTGAGCACTTGAAATACTGACGTAAAGCTGATGGATCACGCCACCTGCCTTCCAATGCACATGCCTACCCTATTATTATTCAAGGAGCCACATCACTGAACATGGTTAAGGCTCTACCATGATAGCCAAGTGGGGACTCCAAAGAAATCTAGTTCCAGGCAGGAATGAAGCATGTAGGTCAGCCATCAGATTGATGGAATATCTAAAATTTAAAGACTCTGAAAGTTGGGGCCAGACTCAAGGCAATGCTAAAAAGCCAGGCAGGTGACAGCAGCTGAGGTCCAAGGGCTCAATTCATTTGGGAAGGACTTGGTTAGTGGCTGGGAATACAGGAAATGGTTCAATTTCTCTTCCTCATTCCTTTAGGAGGTAGTGTGCAGACCAGACAGTGGCAAAAATGTTAAACTGATGGTATTAAGTGTTAGCAAGGATGTGGAGCAACAGAAACTACTGGTGAGAAACTACTGGTGTGACTATAAATGCAACCATTTTCCAAAACAGTTTGTCTTTATATTATTTAGTTGAAGATCTGTAATGCTTTGTGTGGTAGGCGGAATGATTGCCCCCAAAATGTTCACGTCCTAATCCTCAGGACCTGATATGTTACCTTATGTGGCAAAGGGATTCTGCAGATGTGATTATGTTGAGGATCTTGAGATGAGGAGGTTACCTCAGAGCATCTGGATAGTTCCAGTATAATCACCAGGGAAGCAGAAGGCTCAGTGTCTGAATGAGGCAGCATGAGAAAGACTCAAACAGTCATTGCTGCCTTTGCAGAAGGAAGGGGGGCTCCAAGCCAAAGAATGCAGGCTTACAGAAGCTAGTCCCTAGAGCTAGAAAAAGCAAGAAAACTAATGTTCCCTGGAGCCTCCAAAAGAGATTACAGGCCTGCTGATACCTTAATTCACCCTAGGGAAGACCATTTTGGACTTGGGCCTCTGGCACTAGAAGATAACAAATTTGGGTTGTTTTTAAGCCACCAAAATACATGATAGTTTGTTACAGCAGCAACAGGAAACTAATACACTCTATGATGCAGTAACTCACACATATATATGCATGTCCATACACCAGGAAGTAAACTAGTCCAAGACCATCCATAATAGCCTAGACTGGACTGCACATCCCAACAGACAAGATAAATTAGAGAACAGTCACACCATGGATTAATATACAACGATGACACCAAATGAATGGAGAAGTCAGGGGAAAGACTTCTAGTTACTGCGGCATGAAGAGCTCCGTGATTATTCTATGCAAAAAGGCAAGTATAAAACTAGACAAAAGGATGAAAAATGACTTCAAGGCACTGAATATTGACCATAAGTAGAGGATAAATCGAGAAGCACTTATTCTTGAAAAACTGTAAAATTAGAGCTGGATAATTATGGTTCTATCTCAATAAAACAAATTACACCTCAAAATCATTTACACAGATGAACGGCTCATGCAACATGGATGAACCCTATAAACAGAATTTTGCATAAGGAAATCACAAAAGAATACATGTCATAGATTCCATTTATATATAAAAAATGGAAACAGGCAAAACTAAAATCTGCTATTTAAAAGTACATATGTTGCTGGTGGGATTATGAAGAAGAGCTAGGAAATAATCACTATAAAAATCAGGATACTGGTTATCTTTGCCAGGTGAGAGAGGCTCATGACCAGAATTAGCTTATGACCAGATTTTGACGTTCAAAGTTCCGTTGTACCTTGAAACCTCCTGGGAACTGGGTTTGCATCTCAGATGACTTTTGCTGCCCAGGCTTCCTAAACTTTTAGTACACTTTTAGTACAAAGTGTTAGCATCACGTTCATGGCCAGTGAAGCACTTGAAATACTGGCATAAAGCTGATGGCTTTTTTTAATTTTTAAAGTTTTTTATTTTAATGTTTATTCATTTTTTGAGAGACAGAGGATGAGCAGGGGAGGGGCAGAGAGAGAGGGAAACACAGAATCTGAAGCAGGCTCCAGGCTCCGAGCTGTCAGCACAAAGCCCCACACGGTGCTCGAATCCACAAACTATGAGATCACACCCTGAGCCAAAGTCAGACCCTTAACCGATTGAGCCACCCATGAGCCCCAAAGCTGATGCCTTTTTATTTGGGGGATCACACCACCTGTCTTCCAGTGCACTTGCCTACCTTATTATTATTATTCAAGGAGACTCATCACTGAACATGGTTAAGACTCTACCATGACAGCCAAGTGGGGACTCTGAAGAAATCTAGTGCCAGACAGGAATGAATGTACCAGACAGGGAGGCGGCTCTTTGAGAGTGCGGACAATGTCCTACTTCTGTCATGGGTGGTGGTTACATGGGGTTTCTCTTCTAAGCATTTAAAACCACACATGTAGGTTACATGAACTTTTCTGGTTGTTCATCTTACTTAAATATTTTTAATATGTAAGGAAAGAGCAAGAGCACCGGATAGGACAGCAGGCCAACGCCAGTAGGACCCATCTCCAAAGGATGGGTCCTACCCCAGGGGGAATAGGGAGCAGACAGGAAAGCGAGGCAGGGACTGAGGATGAGCTAGATCCAGTGGGAGTGGGACGGAGGCCGGCTCCCCCCAGTTGGCCCGTGGCTGCCCATCTTATTCCAGCATCCTCCACCTGGTAGCTACCAGATGTCTTCCCACCTTGGTCAAGAGATGTGAGGACCCAGCAGGGAAATTTCCAAGAAAGGGCCTCAGCAATGCCCTAGGTGGGGATAAGGGAGATTGGTGGCACAGATGGGTCCGTGGAGGGCATGGTCATACAGGGCCCAGTCCCTCTGTAAAGACTGTGTGAAGAGAGTTCCCCACCCCCCTTTGACTTCTGCATCATGTAGAGAACAATGAACTCATTTTGGACGGTTGGCTGATGAATGAGAAGAATTACTAATGCCACCAAGTCAGAGGGGCAAACGGGGAGCCTTTTCTCCCTATTTCCTCCCGAAAGTAGCCTGGGGTCTGATTTGTCTCTCCCTCGGCCACAGCCAGCCGGCCAACAAGCTCTGGTTGTTTCCAGAACCAGGGGCTCCACCGTTCAGACTGCTCCCAGAGAGGGGTTCTGGGCCAGCACACAGTAGTCGTCAGAGCAGTACTGAGTTAGTAATCGCACAATTTATTAGGCCAGGGCTTTCCAGAGGGTCTGTTTATATAACATGGAGTCACAGTTCATTCCCAGGAATCTGGAGCCTCTCTCTCTACTGACCTGCTTGGAACTGTGTGGTAGTTGGCTTCCTTGATGAGAACAGACAGTTGTCAGTGTCTCTGACTGTAGTCCCTACTCTTCACCCGGCCTATCCAGTGGTGGTGGCCTACAGAAAGAAGAAACTCAAGTTTCCCAGGGAGCGTGGCCTCGTCTATGTAAATGGTACCCCCTGGAGTTGTGCAGTACACAGACTGCGCAGCTGTACATAACAGCTCTGTTAACAGGCAAAGACAGGAAAGGGGAAGGAAACTACTGTGTAGGGAGGCCTTCATGTGTTCTAGATGTTTTTCATAAACCCAGTTTTACTAGTGAGAAAATAGACTCAGAGAAGTCAAGTGACTTTAACTGGGTTACATAGCTGTCATGAAGATGGGCTTCAAACCACAGCAGGCATTAAAATTAAGTGGTCAGCTTGAGACATTCTCCCATCATGGGCATTTTCCTTCTCTAGAAACCTCAGAACTTATCTTTCCATAAAAGGGGAGAACAAGTCCTCCTCCCTCCATCTCTGTCCTCCATCAGCTCCCAAGTCCCTCCTTTGTGCCCATGCCCATGGCCTCCATTCCTCATCTGCCCATTCTGTGGCTAATACCTGGCCTCCACCTGCACATGGCTTTGCTCTCTCCCAAGCCACCGGTTAGAGCCACGTCCCTTGGGAACACCTTCCAGTCTTACCCTTGTGGGAGCCTGGAGCCCTATCAGCTCTCTCTTCTTCCTGGAATTTTCTTCCTTGGCTTGCATGACCCTGGGCAATCATTCATTCATCTATCTATTCATATCTTTCAAGGTCTATGCATGCCAGGTACAGGGCAGGGCACAGAAGCAAAATAAAATCAGCTGGCTGTGATCAAGGCACACAGTCCAGGGCAGAGACATTTCATCAGATGAGCACACAAATCGCCAATTTAGAACTGGAGGGAGTGCTATGGAGGATATGGGGGCTTTGTGACCATAAAGCAGGGCACCCTCACCAAGGCCAGGGGTCAGGAAGGCTGCCCTAAGGAAGCAGTGCTTTGAGCTGAGATCTGCAGAAAGATCAGGGGTCAACTATTTGGGAAAGGTAATCTAGATGTTGCAACAGCATGTGCAGAGGCCAAGGTGATAGAGAAATGCAGCCAAGGGGAGGAAGTGGAAGGAAGTCCATGTGACCTGTGCATAGTGAATGAGCAGGGAGTGTGACTAGAAAGGTGGGCCAGGTTCACATCATGCTATGCAAAGTCATGATTTAAGATTTTGGACCTTATCTGAAATGAAATAATTATATGGCCATACAAGTTATGGGCTGCACAATTTCAAGGGGCACCATTTATGCTACAGCCCATGGTAATGATGCTGCAGATATGTGAACGATTCACCCTGGAATTGTGCAGTGTACATCCTGTCCAACCATACCCAGAGATCGAATAGTCTACCTACAATGGGTAGCTTGGGTTAGAGAGGGCAAGAGGCTTTGAGGAGTCCAGTCGGGACTCGCTACCTTCCCTTCATGCTCCCTCCCTTGCTGAGCTCACCTCTGTCCCTCTCCGCTTTCCAACAGTTCCTCCCTTGACTAACGTCTGAATGTCTGACCTTAGTGGAACTTAAGAACTACTCAACAGCAAGCAGTCAGGGAAAAGCAGGAATCAGCCCACAGGGCATAGGACTCCACCTGGCCGAGGGTACCTGGGCAGGGCAAGGTAGCCTGGCTGAGCCACTGGACAGGGCCCTAGATGGAAAGAAGCTCAATATGTGCCTGAACCAACATGGGAGCAGAAAGGGAAAGTGAGCCCCATGCCTCTCGAGCGGTCCCTGGGAGACCCTGGTCTATCAGCAAGAGACCTTGGAGCAGGGTCCGAGCCCAGCTAGAGTGGGCAGGATTGGTCACAGCTGGGAGGAGGCCTACGAAGAGGTTGGGGCAGCCCTGAGGAGGTTTCCCAGCCCTGGACCACAGGCTTGCGGCCCAGTCAGCGTTGATCTCTGCAGAGCCTGGACACTGGGACCTGAGCATGCCTAGCGGCGACAGCCACAGCTGCAACGGTCCCAAGGCTCAGACCTGGGAGCCACACCCCAGCCTTTTGGAGCCACTGGCCTCCTTCACTGCCTGATCTAGAAGGATCCCTGTTCCTGTTGACCAGGGTGTGGTTAGAACTCGGACTTCTTCCCCAGCCCCTCCTTGCCCAGTGGTTCGGAGGGAGCTCTCCCCACTTCCCAGAGCATTTATTCTTTTCTCTGACGTCATTGACCTCATCTGACCCTCTGCGTAGTTAGGTTTTTAAAAATCATTCTCACGGTGAAAAACATCACATATACAGAAAGGTGCATACAACATAAACGTACAGGTCAGTGAAATCTCACCCAGGAAGCCCCACATGACCATCACTGAGCTCCCAGTTCCTTCCAGCAAGGTAATCCTCAGCCTACATTCGCTGAATGTAGCCAGTCTCCTGCCTTTTGCTTTCCTTTTCTTTTTTCTTTTGTTTTTCCTTATTTAATTGCCTAAATATGCCCTCCTAAAGAGGAAAAAGAATTCTTTTTATGTTTTCTCTACCCCAGTTCTTCAAAGGACAGCTTTCAGAGGGAGCATGTTCAGGGGGAGCAGAGAGGGGGCTTGGTAGGGCCTTGGAGAGGGTTCAAGTCACAACCAGAGAAGGGAGGGAGGGACGAAATGGTTGTACAGAAGCTGGGGAACCCAGGGCGGAACTCTCCTGAAAATACAGTCAAACTCCCAGCCTCAAAGGATGTCATCAGCCTGTCCCCTGAGGACACTTGTCTACTGAGGACTCTGCCACGTGGGCCTCTGTGCCCTCAGGGGCCCTCCCTGCCCGAGGAGAGGCCGCTCAGTGCTGGTCCCACAGCTATAGCCCCAGGCCCTCCACGCCCCCCCCCCCCACTCCTGGCTGGCTCCGTGGCCGAGGCTGAAGGCTGAGGAGCCCCAGAGACCAGGGAGATTCAGGGGATGGGGCAGGGCCCCCTCACCCGGAGATGTTGCTTCCAGAGTGAAACCTACATGCCCTGGGGCCAGGAGAGACCCCCCACACTCGGCACCTCTGCCCCTCGCTCCAAATTCTTGCTGCACACACCGCCCATCCTTCACCACCCACCTGCCTCTGGTGGCCTCGCCGGGGGTACCTTTTCTCTCCCAGCAGGACCGAACACTCTCCGGAAACACAGAATGATGTCCTGTGGGCGAGGGGACACCCACCCACCCCGGGACCACGCTGGGCACACGAGGCCGGTGGTGGAAGGAGGGAGACCAGGAGGAACATCTACCTTGGGCTCGGTGGCCTCACTGAAGCAACGTGTGTCTTGTTTTCTCCACAGACATTGTCAACTGTGACCTGAAGTCCACACTGAGAGTGTTGTACAACCTCTTCACCAAGTACCGGAACGTGGAGTGAGGGGCACCCAGGCCCATTGCCCGGCCACCTTAACCCGCTTGTTCCCGTGTCCAGCTGTGTGCCCTCCCGCCAGTCCAGCCACCGCCCAGGGAGAGCGGGGCTGAATTTAGGAAGGAAATGATCAGTAACCCGATGGGCTGACTCCCACCTCCCAGGCCCTGGGGACTGTCCCAGCCACTCTTCCCATCTGGTGCCAGCTCCAGATTTCCCCAGTGCGATTTGGGAACCAGTTTAGGCATAAGAGACTCCCCTTGGCATATAAAAACGAAGATGATAGTTTCCATCTAATGGTTGTAAACTAGGCACCGGGTGCCACGCTAAGCACTCTGACATCCTCAAACTCCTTAACACTCAGGATCCCCATTGAAGCAGGTATTATAATTCCCTTGGAGGATTATAATCCTCAGATGAAGAAACTGAGGCTCAGAGAGGTTATGTGACTTGCCAGAGGCTACCATGGGTTTTTCTTCCTTAAACGTATTTGTTAATAACTAGCCCATTGCATGAGTCTGTAATTGAGGTTGCACACTTGCATCCTCAAAGATGGCAGGAGCCTGTCCATCGCCCCTCTGGGCGACCTTGTCAAAGCTGAGTGATTCACACTGAAATTGGCACATCCAGTTGAAGTCAATGAATTGTGTGTGTGTGTGTGTGTGTGTGTGTGTGGCGCAGCAGTCCTGTCCCTCCACTACTTTGTACAAATGAAAATTACTCTTAATTCCTTCAGATTTGTAATAACCCCATTCTCTGGTTTCAGGGTGACATTTGGGAAGAATTCTGTTTAAAATTAATGGAGTGGCACATTCTGCAGCCTTTTTGCTTGATTGCATGTAATGGGAGTGCCCTATATTTCCCTGCAAAATAAGTACTCAATTCATTATCGTTAGGCAAATGCACGGTATCCTCAGGCACCACGGAGCGCTGGGCGCAGGCCCACGTGAGCGTGGCTTGGGAAGTAGGGCCCTTCAACAGGGACCCTTGAACTTTAAAGAAAGGAACTCCTTTTTGCCTTCTAATTGATCATTTAGACCATTTCTGGCTAAGTCTGCCCACATGCAATTAGCAGCTAATTCAGGCGAGGAAAAATGTAAGTCATTTAGACCCCAGCCGAGCAGTTTCCTTGCGTGGGTTTACTCGCGGGCTTATAGTAACTAGTATCCCCTCTCCGTGAACCCAGCTCTGAAATATAGACCTCTGGTAGTCCCAGGCTGCTGGGTTCTGTGGGAATAGAAAAGGGGCCAAAGTTGGGGTGACCAGAAGGACAAGAAGCATGGGGAAGCATTTGTACACTTGACATGGTGGGGGGACGCCCCCAGAAGAGGGATGGGGCTTGCGGTACTTCACGCTTGCACCCTTCCATGGATCAAGGCCTCGGGGTAAAGAATAACTCGTTCTGATGTTACATCTTCATTATAGACTTTTCCTAAACATGCCAGATGGACACCAGCCTGTAGACCTGCCTGAAGTCTGTGCCTGTTTTGTCACTACTTTCGGCTCATTGCCCAAAGCCTACCTCTAGTTTGAGGAATTAATTTTGATCTCTATCTACAGCCCACAGCACCCCACCACCACCACCCACAACAAGTTGGGTCTCCCATATTGTCCAAAAGATTTCCTTCCAGCTTCGACACATTTCCTGCTATCTGTGGTAACTCAGAACCCATAAAATTTAGATACACCACATGTTTCCGTGGATATTTTTTTCTAAGAAATCATTGTTCCTCCTCGTAAGGAGCTTTGAAGATAGAAAGACAATGTACTCTTGTGCCAATTATGTAAAAGAATACAACTCTTTTTACGTGATTAATGCAACACTACAATTTTCATTAAGAAACACCAAATAGTATAATATTTCTGTTTGTGCTTTTTTAAGAATCCTGATAGCAAATCAAGATAAACCAATGCTTTGTCCCCTTGAGCAATCCAAAAGCGGGATGCAGTAAGAGGAATGCATTCATTTAAACATGCTTTGCTATACGAATTTTGTCTCCTTTGTTGTCCTTTTTTCTTTATAGTCATGCTGCAAACATACAAGGTACGAGTGGCCTCATTAAGAGCGCTTTTATATTTTGCACATATATGGTATGGAAGGTTTTCAATAACAGGGCTAATTTGTCACAATACTGTGTCTCAAGATGGAGGTCTTTGCCTCATCTTTGCCCAGACCTAGGGCTCGAGTCTGTCATCTCACCTCATCTGGAGGTTTTCCTGTAGATTCTAGAATCTCCTGCTGAATATATGACCATGTTTTTGAAGGTGGAGAAAGACATCAGAACAACAAATAAACCACACTTAATCCTCACCTCTTTCAAAAGAAGAAACCAAGAATCAAGTCTCTGTAAGCTTACTGCTTTTTTTTTTTTTTTGCTTTTCTCTTCCAAATTTACACTCATTGATCATTTTAATAGTTCACTTATAAATGGTACAAAACTCAAAAAGCATGAATATCTAGTAAAAAACCTCAGTCTGCCTCCCTCCTCTCCTCCAGCAGCTGATACTATCGGCAGCTGTTTTGATCTGGTTTTGCATATTCATTTCCAGAGATATTCCAACCATAGAATGCATCAACACATATATAAAATGTTTTTACATAAATAACATAGTATGCATAGGGCCACGCACACTGCTCTTTTCACTTAACACTGCATCTTGGAGATTTACACTGGATGTTAAAACTTCTTTAAGTGAGATTGTAAACTGAACTGAATTTTTTTAAAGGGCTCCTTTAGATTGTTACGGTGAGTGAATGTGTAGAGTTCGAGTAAGCTTTCATTTGTGCCCATTACTACTGCTGCTAATTTGTAATTGACTAAAAAACTACGAATAGTTACTATATAGCCTGTAGATTCTGCTACAACCCCACGCTCTGCTCATCCATTCTATCCACAAATTCCCATTTCCCATGTGCAGGCACAGAGCTGACAGTCCCAAAATCTGGGAGAAGACTCTATCTGCACATCGTCATTGTTGCCTTGAGTTGGTTGCGATTTGCAATGGCTACATTCAGTACCTCCTAATCATGAATTACTGCCCACTTAGTTTTATCATTATCAGTTTATTTTGTTGTGGGCTGCTTGGTTAACCCTCTGTAGTATACTGAAACTTATTTGCATCAACAGGATTCTAAAACTGTAATTTTCCAGTGACCAGACTCTAAGATGTGTATACATTGTGGTTCAAATATGAATTGCCCATACTCCAGTGCTAAAGCAAACGTATACAGAATCCACTTCCCCCCCAATTATCACCAATTTATTTTTCCACTGGAAAATGAGACTGGAAGGAGTTGGGAGGTCAAGCAGTTTTTGCCCCAAGCAGTGGCTGATCAAAAATAATTTGAGACCCGCTGCATCTAATGCAGCTCTACCTCAGGAAGCTTGCCTACATTAAACATCCCAGCTCCGCAAGAAGGATATGTCATGAAACCTTCACTCATGCTAATATTGCATGGAATCTCCACCCATAAAATTCACTTAGGTCTATTGGAAAATTCAAGAAAATACTAAGAACAGGAGAAGAGCATTGGGAGAAGAGCAAATGCCATGTAGGAGGCAGACTCAGCCACTAAGGGACCTGTGTCCACACACCAGCTTCCCAACACTTACAGATTCAAGTCTCAGCAAGAGACAAGTTAGTGTGTACAAGTTGCTCACTGTCGTAACTACAAGATTGTATCTGCAAACACCATGTTATATCTGCAAACACCAAATGTCCACTGTTTTTTCCTCTCTTTTCCCTGAAAAATATAAACCCAGCCTAGCTCCAGAATTTGCTCAGCCTCGCTGCTTTATTAGGGTGGCGACGGCCCGTGTGAATGCGTGCGTAGGTGTCCAGGAGGGTTCACAGCCCACATCAAGCCTGACGATCTTGGGTTTCAGGTTTCCCAAGTAGGAAGCCAACAGTGAAGTAGGTCTTAAAGTACATTTGCAGGATGTTAACTGATGTTAGGTGGGAAAAAATGTCACATTTAAATAAGTTTGGAAACGTGAGGCTAAAGAAAATTAAACTCACTTCCTACAGCTTTGTGGTTTTTTGCCTTTTGTTTTCTTTTCTAATTTTAAGTCTTATCTATTCTTGAGAGAGAGAGAGAGAGAGAGAGAGAGTAGGTGAGGGGCAGAGGGGGATGAAGAGAGAGAGAGAATCCCAAGCAGGCTCCATGCTGTCAGCACAGAGCCCGATGTGGGGCTCGAACCTTCGAACCGCGAGGTCATGTCCTGAGCCGAAACCAAGAATCAGACTTTTAACCACCTGAGCCACCCAGGCACCCCTGCCTTTTCCTTCCTAATTGGAGATCATCACAGAGTCCCCTACACACAGGCTATTGTGACCTTCTACAGGGAGACAGACGAAGGCACATCCAGATTGCCTCCAACCATGGGACCTGCTTCCCGCCTCCCCCCCCCCCCCCCCCCCCCCCCGCAGCTCTCTGTGCAGCTCACCCATTCACTTAACCAGCTGGCCAGATAGTCAACAAGTATACACTGACTGTCTACAATGTCTTAGGCATGCCGTGNTCCCCTACACACAGGCTATTGTGACCTTCTACAGGGAGACAGACGAAGGCACATCCAGATTGCCTCCAACCATGGGACCCCCCCCCCCCCCCCCGCCCCGAGAAACCTGCAGCTCTCTGTGCAGCTCACCCATTCACTTAACCAGCTGGCCAGATAGTCAACAAGTATACACTGACTGTCTACAATGTCTTAGGCATGCCGTGTCCCCTGACAAAGGAGGCTAACTTGTGGCGCTCACTGGGGAACACACACAAAAAAATCATCACACATCAGTGGTGCCTATGAATTACGGCAACCACTGAAGACAAGCACAAAAACCTGTGAAAGAGGTCTTGCTTTTGCAGTCGAGAGGCCACCGGCAAAGTGCTGTTTTCAAGTGATGCCTCCGCAAGGGAGGAGCTTTGGTCGTTCAAGGGAACAGCGCAGGTGAGGATCCCAAGCCAGGAGAAGACTTGGCTCCCTGGAGGAAACCCCAGGCTGGCTGGGGTGCAAGGTGTGAGGTAGGGACAAGCGGCATCCGACCCCAGGTGTCAAGAGGCCTGCAGATTTTATAAGACACAGGGGAAGCAGTGTATGTTCCCAAGCCTTCTGGCCACTGTGGAGAAAGCAGTCAGCAATAATGGCTTCTGAGATTGGCCTTCCATCTGCAAACCACGGGGACAGCCAGAGAGCAAAGATCAGGAGAGGAGACAGGGCCTCTGCCCACCCCCTGTCTGGTCTCCCCCACGAGCTGGAAGCCGAGGTGTGCTTAGGAAAGCCTCATCCTCCACCCCCCGGGGGCTGCTGGGAGGCCAGGAGGTCCTAAGCCATCTCCAACCTTCCTGTACTTTGGTCCCCTGAGAAGAGGCAAGGGAACCGGAAGACGGGATGAGGGCGTGTGTGTGAAGCAAAGGAAAGGACTGCCGCCAGAAAGCTGATCCCTGAGGCCAGTGTTTCCACCTCCTCACCTCAGAGGACTTCTGCTGTTAGATCCCTGTGTGGATTCAGCGGGGTGGGGGCGGGGGAGGCAGGCATGGGGTCCTCCAGCCGAAGGTCAGCTAAGGGATAGGCTTCCTAGAGCTGGAATAATAATTTTATCTTCCCAACTCCTATAAGCCCGCGTGAACGACTGTTATAATGCCTACCGCTTTATAGAATGCCTACTGCAAGTGGGTCACTTCTGCTCCACAGTTACTGGCTTGTGAAATAGCTTTCATTCCTATGGTATATTATTTTCACAAAGAGTTTTGAAATCCCTGAAGTATCCCTGGAAGCCCCCGGTGGGGAGCCATGAGGTTAGAAACCAGTCTGGTGGATGCCTGCCCCAGGGCATTGCTTCTCCCCAGCAGGCTCCTGGGGCCCCAGCAATCGGCCCTTCTGCCTCCACGACTCCCCTGGGCCTTCCGCATATACATGGTCCCCAGCTCTGTCGCTGGCATTTCAAAGGGCACTTGGGAAATTCTGAGAAGCCCCGCAGATTAAGATAAATGATGCTTTGTCGGCGAAACAGCCTTTTCATTTCTTGTTATCGATTTTCATGTTTTCACATCTTCAGATGCGACTTGTTAGCCCAGGGCCACGTTCCAAGATTCGCAAACGTCATTAAGGCAACCGTTTTAAAGAGTGCCATGTTTTATTGAGGTGGACAGGACAATAGACAAATATTTAATCTGTTACACGTTTGCTTGGTATGGGAGACAGGGTTGGGGCTGCGTGACTCTCAGGTCCTTACATGTCTTCCTGGAAACCCTAACAATGGCCGCACCGCCTGCCCACAGAAACACACACCTGCCCTTTGGCCAATGCCCGCCAGTGTTTCTGCAAAGCAGCTCCTGAAAGCCTTTTTCCACTCAAGCTTCAGAGGTTACCTCATCTTTCCCCCTTCATCATGATATTGGAGAATATCAACTCTCGCAGAACTGGGGGGGCATTTGGCTTAAAATAATGGATAGTAAGGGATGCCTGTGTGGCTCCGTCAGTTAAGCGTCAGACTCTTGATTTCGGCTCAGGTCATGATCTCATGGTGGGGAGTGCACCGATGGCATGGAGCCTGCTGGGGGTTCTCTCTCTACCCCTACCCTGCTCATGCTCACTCACGCTCTCTCTCAAAAAAATAAACAAAAATGAAAAAACAATAATGGACGATAACATGGTGACCAGTGAGCATGCGCTAAGCTAGGTTACCGAGGCCCTCACCTCGACCACGTTCTGAGTCTCCCATTAGGGCAGGGCACTCATGGGTGGTTAACATGCCATGTGCCATGCCTGAGCCTAAACTTCTGGCATCTTTGGTTCTCTTGGCTAATTCCCATAATGCCCCCAACTCTCCCACATTGGAATTGCATATCGTCCACACCCATGACCGGGTCATTGCCTGTGAGAGACTGAGCCCACCAGCAACCACCCTAATCAGGGGACCTGCCAAATTGCTTTCATTCATAAAATTTACCCATCCGGATTAAATGGCTTCCTGACCTGCATACATCCA